TGGCTGGGTTGCCTTGATGACTTTTGTAGCAAAAAGGCTACCAAGTATGTGAAATCAGCTCTCTGGCGAGCAGTGATTGAGACTGGAGAAAGCAGGGCTTTTGGTCTGTAACCTGCAAAGGAAACTGCATGGAGGGCTTCAGCAGGAGTACTCACGTCTAAGAAACTGGGCCCATATCAAACACTGGTATGTGTTGAGGGCACCCTGTGAACCATTTTAAAATTAGTATTACCTGCAGTACATCTCTGCTTATCAAAGTAGGCTCAGGGAAACAAATAAGATGGATAATTTAATTTGACATCAATAGGCCTCAAGCTGCTGGAAAAAAATGGGATTAGTACACACTCCCAAAGATGGGCTGTCTTTCTGTCTATAGACACAGGAAGGTGTCCTCTGGTTGTCTCATCAATTCCTGACTTCAAGGTTTTCTTCACTACAGGCTTTGCATGTGAAACAAAAAAGCACTAAAATGACATGAAGGTTGCTGAAGGAGTCAGGCACCAAAACACCATGTGGATGTTATAATCATTGCTAAATCAAGCAGTGTAGAGCTGGGCAAAGCAAGGTTACAGTTTTGTTTAGGAGGAATGTGGCAATGTGAACATGGGAAGTGCATAAAGCCGCGTTAGGGGAGCCGAGCCCTTGCTGTATTGCTTCAAGCAGGGCACCATGAGGTTACAGCGCAGAAGCAAACAGAAATAAACTTTTAGATAAACCTCTTCACACCGCTTCCCTACTTCAGGCCTGCCATGACAGCATCGTAACATAGGATTAATCCTGTCGCTCAATTGCTGAAGGCACACTTGACTAGCAGGTACGGGACAGTGGAACCACTGCAAGTAAAGTGCATCGCTGTTTTTGTTCCTTCTCTTCTGCTCCTCTCTCACTGCATTTGGGATGAGTAAGGGAACATGACCTCCCAAGAGGTGACCGTGGCATGAATGAAGCCATCTGGGTTTGCAGCTGCATCAACAGGCCTGTGGCTTGTGATGGGAGTTAGGCTTGGGGTTGTGCAAAGGGAAAGAGCCACTCCTCAGTTCTCTGCATGCTGAGACTTCCCTTTGAGTGCTTCTGTTTGATGGAGTGTAGTCTGGGTAGAAGCTTAATATACAATCACAGACTCCTTAAAATGGACAGCCAGAAGGGCCTGCCAGCACTCACTTTTCTCTGTTTCATCCCATCTTTCTCATTGCATGGGGTGATTACAGTGAAAAGGTAGTGTTTTTATGTACTGCTGAAATGATGTCCCCATGCAGAGGTTATCTAATAGGGTCTTTCTGTGATTAGTGTGTTCACAGGAATCTGTCACAACACTGACTTAAATACAAATCATTTCTTCATGTGTTCCAGTGTAGCACAGGACATCTGCTGAATTTTAACCCCATGGAAAGCCTGGGGAAAATCTGATTCCTCACTGCTAAAATCATCTGGGATAAAGAAAAGTCCAAGGGGCAGTGTCTAGTTCTTTAAAGACAGCTTTTCAAAATTTCTCAGATTTTCAACTGATTATCTGGTTGGAAATCCCTGTAAAATACTGTGTTGTCCTCAAAGGATAAATCCTACCAAGTTTGGGGCAAATGTGCTATTCACAGAAAATGAGGCTGTAGAATTACCCAGGGACTGTTAGGTGTGATTTCTACTCCAACCCCAGGGGATGGCCTCCAGGAGAAAGCTGCAGCTCCACAAGATGTGTTTTCCTCAGCTGATGCAGCCCCAGTTACCAGAAGTGCCCTTACCTCACCACAGCACACTGTGCATCTCCTCCCAGAGCTGCCCCAAGCCCCTTTTACCAGCCCCTGCACAACACTGTCAGTGCCCCGGCAGAGCAGGAGTCCCATGTGCATGGTCCTAGGCAAAGTTCAGTGATGCTAATAATTGAAGAATAGAGAGACTGGCTGCTCTTGCAGAGACAAATAGGGAAACTTACAGATAAAAAACAATGCAAGACTGTTTTGATCCTCCTGGTTTTGGAAGGCCTCCAGCAGTTTGCCTCAGAGCTTTTTGCAAGAATGTCCATCTAAAACCTGTGTGGATCCACAGTCTTTCTTGCTGCTTACGCAGAGGCAAAAGACCCAGGCCCACCAAGGAGGACCTTTCCCATCATATGTGTTGCTTTGTGGGTTGTGTGCAAAGCCAGGTAACGTGAGGTAACACCAAAAAAAGGCAAAGCACTTTAGAAGAGCAGAGGAATTTGGAACAGAGGGGAAAGAGAGTGGCTTTGGGGTTTTCAGGAGTTACCTGAAGGTTTCCAGCAGCTCAGTGCTGTTTCTCTAGAGCATTGTGTGGTCTTTTATTGCCTTTTGCAGTCAGTTGTCTCTGCAGGACTTCTGTGACATTATGTGTGGTAGGATAACCAAGCTTCTGTGACTGTGGCATTTCTGAAACATGACTTGGACAAGGAGTGAAGGAAATAGGAATATAGGCTCAAGAGCTCTCCTGCTTGCTGACTCTGAAAGCAAATAAGAAAGGATGGTTTTCCTCTGCACTCATTTCTAAGTAGCTCTGCTATATGGGGCATCTGCAACACAGGTATAGTTGGAACGGAGCATGTTTTTCTGCCTAGGGCGACTAGGGCAGAAGTCAGCCCTTTAATCAGGTCAGTGTGGCTACACACTGTGGCCTCCCAGTGATGGAGCTGTGTGTGTGGATGGTTGGGATTGGGTGGGCTTCAGGGGGGTGGGAAAAGGAGGGATCTTTCTTTTCTGAAAGTCATTAAAAATTATTTGTATGGTGGGTACCTCCCCCACAGCCTGGTCACAGAGAGCATTCAGCACAGAAATGGACAGAACTGGATTTTCATTTTTGCTTTGCAGTTCATCTTTAAAGTGAAAGGGGACTTTTGTGGGGCTGAATGACTCTTCAAGGACTTCGGTTCCCTCAGGCTTGCAGCATTCAGGTTGCAGTTTCAAGGGTGCAGAGCCTTTTAAGGGTAGATGTGACATCAGCAGGAGTTTCCAAACCCTGCACATGTGCTGCCAAGAAGGTTTTTGTTCTCCTTTTGGTTGCAAAGGAGACTCTTAGGGGCAAGGTGAGGAGAACCTCAATGCAACTCATGATGCGATGTCACCCTGACATTTGCTGCGTGCCTACTCTTCCACTGCTGCTGCAAAAGAAAATAGAAAATTGTCTTTATTAGGGCCCACAGTCCCAAAGCTCAGACTGGCTGCTCAGACCTGAACTGTGAGAACAAGCAAAGATGTAGTTGAGGGAAAAAAACCACACACACTTGCAGATGCACAGGAGGAACTTCAAAATTCAGCCTAAACTGGGCTACTTTTAAGGTAAATGCTTTTACACACAGCATGTAATCAAACTGTGCAACTCATTGTCACAGGATGTTGTGGAAGCCAAGAAATATACATGCATTCCTGAAGGAGCAAAATGTTTTCCTCAAGGGGTAGGTCTAGCAGTAGTGATGAAACTGCTGCTGTCAAGAAAGCCTAAAATGCCTGGCTGCCAAAGGTTGCAAGGTATGGCAGTTCTTACCCCATACAGAGTGGAAGAGCTAATTTTTCTACCATTGCTACTGGTTGCTGGCTGATAGAGGTCAGAGGGCTGAGTGGGCTCATGGTCTGCCACAGTTTGGTTGTTCAGAGTCTGCAATGAATTATAAGGGGAAGTACAGGACTGGGGGGGTGTGTGGAAATAGAATGTTTTCCTTTGGAAGACCAGTGAAGTGGCTGAGCAGAGGAAAACCAGTTATGTGAGAAGTTTCAGGGAAGGAATTGGGGAATTTGAATCTTCTCTGTCCTGAGGCCAGCTATTTCCTTGTTTTCTGCTCTCAGCCCATGGGGTGCAACAGATTGGTACCCCCCCTTCCACTATTTGAGATGGGTGCTAATGGTAGTGAGGCTGAGGCAAACAGGGCAAATGTAAAGCAACCCAAATTTTTGGACTAACAAAGCAGGATGCACAGGGATAAGTCTCATCCTGAAGATTGCACAAACCTGGGTGAAAGCCCAACCACCTGCCCTGACCTTGTTGAAGCACAAGACAGCACATTAATATTGGGTTTCTCTTCCAGCAACAGCAGGAGCTCCTTGCTACACTGCTCCCTCGCATTTTAAGTTCTGGCCCCTGAGAACACCTACCCACTGGAAAGAGGAATTAGAGTGGGAAAACACGGCTGATCACTGGCATGGAGTGCAGAGAAGTTGCAGTGTGAAGCAGGGGGATTGCTGCTAGAGTGGTCAAAGTTGTACCCAATTTCTCCCTTCAAGGAGCTCAGCTTATTACAAGAGACACGTCTGTGTACTAGATATGGCACCAACACAGTCTCTGAGCAGGAGGTGGGGAATGCCTGTGCTGTTTTGCAAGTAATCCCAAGGGAGGTCCATGGGCCTTTACAAATACAAGTTTGTTTCAGCTAGACTAGCCAAATTTGTTCATTTGCTAATACTAGAAAGCTGATGACATTGTGGCTGTAAACTTTATCATTGTAGGGTTGCTTCCAGCTTCTGGGATATTGAAATATTCGGGTTTTTTGTTTAAGAAAAAAAAAAAAGAAAAAACTCTTCCAAAAAAAAACCAACCCTGAAACCCCCAGACTTACAGCCACTTTGGCTCTGTGTGACACACAGGAAACTCACTGGAGGGTGACACAGATTTTCCAAACACTGAGGTCTGAAAAGGAAGAGCAGAGGATATAGCAGTTTGGGAATGTATGTTTTTATACCGTGACATGAATAATGACAAATCTTTACTCTGAGGTGTTTAAGGAGCCACCAGAATTTCTGTTCAGGCAGATAACTCTCCTGCCTTTGCCTTCGCCTTCAGAAATCATTTGTTCAGGATCCTAAGTAGCACTGGAGCATCATGTAAAAGGCAATGACAAGGGAGGCCTCTCCTCAGTGCAGAGCTGAAGCTGTAAACAGCTCTGTGGGTGATGAGGTACTTTAACAAGTGCAGATAGAGCTGAAAGAATTGAGCTGTATGCAGCAGGACCTGGCACAAGGCTGTAGCACTGTCTCACTGACTTTTCTTTGCCCCCCCCCATACAGGCTATGCACAGGAGAAGAAAGTAGTCAAAAGCAAGGTGGGAGAAAAAGTTGGCCTGCCGTGTTGTCATGAAATTCCCAGCTCAGAAAGCCTACAGAACTACCGGGTCTACTGGCAGAAGAACATTACAGAGGTAGTGCTTGCCTATGCAGCTGGGGAGAGGATCTCTGAGCACAACTCTGCCCGATATGAAAATCGGACAGAGATAGACCCCAGGAACCTCACCCTGTGGATCTCCCCCATGGAAATCCTAGACAATGGCTCTTACTGGTGTGTAGTTCAGCACCTCAGATCTTCACAGAACTCCGTGGTTGTGTGTAATGAGCCTGTCAACCTCTTTGTTACAGGTAGGTGATTGCATCCTGACACCTGAGGCTTTCTGGTGCCATCCCCAGGGTAAAAGACACTCCTCCAAGTGTTAGTCATAGTATAGCAGACAGACTTGCACTAACAAGCCTCAAAGAGTGCCAGAAGTTGTGATAACTATTTCCATTTTAGCAGCTTTCCTCCTTACCTTTCCAAAGCTACCCCTGGTACAGAAAATTTGCCTTTCCCACCACCAGCCCAACATCCTCCCCTTGATGCCTTCCTCTTGGAAAAAGACACCCCCCCAGGACACATTCCGAGGTATCACTGCTGGTGGGTGCCCTAGGCCACCTCTGCCCTCTGCTGTCTTTTGAGCAAAGCAGAGACTAAGCCCTTGATGCATGGGAAGCATCCAAGCTGAAAGAGGAATGGAGTGGCATTGCTTCTCTGTGACCGTAGTAGCATCCCAGCCCTGCATCAACCCCCTTGGGAAGCCCAGGCTCTTGGGGGGCTGGCCAGATCACTGGCTGCACTGCAGCTCCACGACCTAAGGCTGAACTCAGCTGGAGATTGGAGGCTTTTCATCTTAAAGAAACAACCCAAGTTCTTTTGCTCAAAACGAATCTGAATCTTTTCTTGGAGGCTACAGAAAGTTCCATTGACATTATTTTACATTTCTACCACTGTTTTTGTGGCAGTTGGTTTCAACCAAATGCAGAGCTATTAGTAACACATATAAATATATACATACATACATTTGAATTACCTTTAGCAGCAGAGTTCCAGGAATCTTCCAGACAAGTGAATGAGCTTTCTCCATCTGGAATGAGATTCATCAGCAAAATAAAAAAAAGCTCCCAAGAGCTGACCATTGCTTGCTTGTGAAGCTAGCCTTAGTGAAGCTAGCTGTGATGTTGGAATGGACTTACTTTCCAGGAGGGACGTCAATGCTATATTGCTCAACAGATGGTGGGCCTGGAAGGAAATCCAGGTCTCTCCTTCAGCTGCACAGTGCTAAGCAAGTTACCCTGTCATTAGGTATTAGTTATTTGGTAGCCTGCCCCATGAGTCTGTGGTCAGCAGAAGCCATGGAAGATTAGTGCATCTAATCCCAGCAGTCATGTGGTCAAATGGTGAGGCAGGCAGGGAGCAGTTGCAGACAAAACATTAGCTGCTCCAAAAAGGGTCATTTTGCAGTGTGTTGAGCTACCTGCTGCAGTTCTCTGCCTGGTCTTGCTCTGGCTGGGGCTAGAGCCTGAGGGGTATAGAGGCTACAGAACTACAGCATGCCAGGGAGGGAAGGAGAATTTGTTCATTTTGACAGCAGTCACGTTGGTGTGACTTAAGCCCAACAGAAAGCCACATGCTGAGTTACTTTCTCTGATTGGTGCCTCTCTTGCTAAAGATGTGGACCCACTGAGATTTTTCCAGGGGTACAGTTCCCTTACGTAGTTCCTTTGCCACCCCTTCCTCCTCACCCTGGACTGCTTACGGCGGCCTGTGGGCATCCTCAGTCATACCAATGCAACTATTTACAGTAACCAGGTGAACCGAATTGGCAAAGGGAAGCAGACTAAAGTGGACACCACTTTTCTTCTCCTTCTTTATTCATATTAGAACTCTCACCCATTTCACCATGCAGCCTTACAAACACATTTGACCAGGCAGGAAGGCATGGAACAAGCTGTGTGGGTGGGAAGCCTCTGAAAACTCTTTGGCAGTGAGACAGAAGTCCAGTGAGAACATGGTCTGAAAGGCCAGCGCAATGATTAGTACAACTTGGTCTTGCTCTCTGCTGGGCCTTCTGGAGGGGCTTATTACATATAGAAAATGTAGTTTGGTCTCTTGCTGGCCAGCCCAGCAGAGAGAAACAAGGGAAAGGGCTCACCTCCTTTCCCAGCAGAGATGGATCCTCTGGGAGCTTCTGGCTGGGAAGGGACTAATGAGGGAGGGAAAAGGAAATTGTCTGCTGTTGCCTGTAATACGGATTTTTATTGAATCCCATGTTTCTCTTTCCTGTTTTATGATTCCTTCTGTTGTTCCATAAACTGCTGTATGTAGAGAGAAATGGTGGCAATGGAGAGGTGGGGTCATGAAGTGTGTATACTGCCCAGGGGGTAGAAGATGCAAAGGCCGAAGTCTTATCCAGGCAAGGCTGTGGGGAGAACGCTAAGGCAAAAGAAAGGCCAAATGGGTTATGACAGAGGACGAATAAATACCCTGTGGGGGAGTCTTTGCTTTCACCGTGGGTGATAAGAACTGCAGGCCGTTTGTAATCTGTCAGAATGGTAACTAAATCTTTCTTGCTCCAGCTGACTTCAGTGAGCCGAACCTAACAGCAGAAGTATCCACTGATTCTTGTGAATCAACTGAGCTGGTGGTAATGTGTTCTTCTTATGGAGGTTTCCCCAAACCCAGACTCTCTGGAGCCCTCAACAATACGTCCGTGGTGTGGAATGCCAGCTGGGTGACCGAGTCCAACCTCAGCCCATACAACATCACTGGCAAACTGTCACTCAATGTGACCCAAGATGTCAACATCACTTGCTCTGTTGAATACAACGGCTTTACCAAGTCCACCAGTTTGCTTCTGAGTAGGTTTTATTAACAGTTTGTGTTACAAACCCATTTTGTCAAATCTGATGAGTTGCCTGCCTGAGAAAGCAGTACATTTTGTATGTCTGTTCATGCAAGAATGACCAGTGATCCCACCTGTGAGCCAGTTGGGGGACACAGATCTGGTATTTGAATGGAAGGACTTGAAAAATGTGTGTGCCTTAAAAGCCACAGGTTGCACATATAAATAATTTCCTTGTTTAACAAACTGTCAGCTGGCATCTAGGCAAAATTCTGCTTTCATACACATAGTTAATATGTGCATGAAAATTCCATCACTTTGCATGGTTTGAAAGTGATAACGTAATAGATAAGTCTGTGCTTTGAAAAGCTTGAGGCACAAGTGGAAACAGCATGAGGGAGGGAGCACACTACAGTCCAAACGTTTTGCAGTAGAACGGGTTTTGCAAGGAAATTCTTAAAGCCAAAGGATTTTTTTTTTTTAATGTTGTTACCAAAAAAAGTATTCTGAAATGTCTCTGGGCCTGATGTTTTCACTATGAAGATAAGGGAAAGCTTCAAGGGAAGCTAGAGAAGCACTGTTTTTCCTAGGGAATTGTAGCTTATTCATCAAGGTACCTTATTCATCAATCCTACTAAAATCAAAGAGGTTTATGAGGCAAGGTGCCATTGAGTTTCAGAATGAATGCCAGAAACTAGGGCTTTATGAATATTGGTTATTGCTGGATGTAGTGCATAATGTCCGTAGAGATGGTAATGGAAGAAGGTTGTGCATATCATACAACACAGAAAAGGAAAGCAGCAAAAAAGAGTAATAATAGTAATACACTGTTGTCAGACAGATTCTCAGGGAAGGCTGCAACCACCAGTGACAACAGCAGTCACAAAACCGCCACTTTCTGATCTTTAAGAATGTGGAATCACTCACATTTTCCCATTTTCCCATTTTCTATGATGGAAATGGTCCTCCAAATAAATCTTTAATAAACATGGAGACAGAATAGAGCCTCTGGTAAATGCAGGAGGCAAACCATGGAGGGGAATATTGTACAGCAGATCAGGCTATTGCCTAACAAGTTGAAGGATAATTATGCCAGATGCATCTGAAGATCTACACACATAGGTCTGCAGACCTGTTAACATGCACCAAGTCTGTCCCTCCTGTCAAATGAGGGTTCTGCACTGTACAAGAACAGCCCATTATCTACCCTAATGTTCAAGTGTCAGAACGATCATCTCCAGTGGTGAAAAGCCAAAGGCTCCAGATCCACTGAACTCTGCCACAACACTTTTTCTGGTAAAAAAAAGCCCTATTCTAGCCTGTTTTATACACTACTCTCCATCACCTGTGAATTCAGAGGGGAAAAAAATAGGCATAAATCTGGTGAAAACAGTAAGAAAACCTATAGAGTACTTTTGAGAATGTAGGTTTTCTAGACATGGACTCAGACTTTTCTACCAACCCTAACCGTAAGTTTAAAAAACAGCTTAGGTGTTTTAAGCTGTTACCTGCCTCAGTCCTCTTCTGGACAAACACCCAACATTTCAGATTCTATGAATGTGTTAAAAATTTCAGCACGTATCAAATACAGGAGAATGAAGGAAATTCAGGTGCCAGCTCCAGCTTTGTCTGTTCGTTTATTGAATAGGTAAATTTTTCAGGCTAAGTTAGAATTTGTCCAGAACCCCCACATTTCACGTACCTGCTATATGCCAGTATGTTGTTTAGCCCTTTATTTATGCTTTATTTCTTCTGTTTCAGGAAAAACAAATGACTGTGTTCTCCCTACCGTAGCTCCCTCTTATAATGTCATTACTGTTTCAAGTATCATCGTCATCTTCCTTTTGGCTATCACCCTAGCAGCAAGGTACCTCCCAAGGCATGGTAAGTGTCGATCCTTTTACAAGAAACAGCCTCACCCTGCCTATGGAGCTTCTCTGTGAAATACACATTTTTAGAAGCTATGCTGACACACTTGATTGATAGTTCTGTGCCACCTTCTCCTTTCCTTTTTTTTATTTTCCTTTTTTTTTTTCCATCTACTTTGACAAAATTGAAGTCCAGCTCAGGACTTTTCCTACATTTTGAATGTGGGCAGCACTAGGCTTCAGGTTTGAGAGTGACGGGGTGATGGGGAGTATTGACAGAAGATCAGAGTATTTCCAGAATCAGGGATATACAGAATTGAAGAGTTTCACAAAGAATTTCACAAAGGCAGTTTTTATGTATTATGTTTATGTATAACATGCTTGAAGATGCCAAGAATCTTGGTGATAATGATAGATACAGCTGAGCACTGACAGTTTCAGAACTGGATCTCTCCACACACCCTATTTAGACAATCCCTCAGAAAAGTCACAGAGCCAAAGTTACAAAAATGAGTAGTTCTAGAGCCACAGCAAAAAACCTAAGGACAGCTATGTTCCACTTCTATGAGAATTCCAATCAAGAGACATAGACTTGTCTTCCTTATGTGGCCAAAACCAGCATGGGTGAGGTGCCCTGTCCCACCCTGTGAAGCCTTCAGTAACTCCAGACATGTCTCCAGCAGTTTTTCAAAGGCAAAGAGGACTTCCAGCATCTCAGGGTTTGATGGCAGCTGAGCAGATGTATTTTCTTTTGTTGCTGTTATTGTCATCTATTAGCTGTTGCTCCACATCATGTCTAAGCTGACCTAATCAGAAAGCCCCTTAAGATGTGGGTAGACATCAAATGGGTTTATAAAGGCAGCTAGGCATCCAGCTGGTATTAGAAGTCAAAAGCAGTATCACAGTATGTTAGAGATTGGAAGGGACCTTGAAAGATCATCTAGTCCAATCCCCCTGCCGGAGCAGGAACACTTAGATAAGGTTACACAGGAATGCGTCCAGGCGGGTTTTGAACGTCTCCAGAGAAGGAGACTCCACAACCTCCCTGGGCAGCCTGTTCCAGTGCTCTGTCACCCTCACTGAGAAGAAGTTTCTTCTCAAGTTTAAGTGGAACCTCTTGTGTTCCAGTTTGTACCCATTGCCCCTTGTCCTATCATTGTTTGCCACTGAGAAGAGCCTGGCTCCATCCTCGTGACACTCCCCCTTTATATATTTATATACACTAATAAGGTCACCCCTCAATCTCCTCTTCTCCAAACTATAGAGACCCAGCTCCCTCAGTCTTTCCTCATAAGGGAGATGCTCCACTCCCTTAATCATCTTAGTTGCCCTGCGCTGGACTCTCTCCAGCAGGTCCCTGTCCTTAAACTGAGGGGCCCAGAACTGGACACAATATTCCAGATGAGGTCTCACCAGGGCAGAGTAGAGGGGAAGGAGGACCTCTCTCGACCTACTAACCACCCCCCTTCTAATACACCCCAGGATGCCATTGGCCTTCTTGGCCACAAGGGCACAGTGTCGGCTCATGGTCACCCTGTCGTCCACCAGGACCCCCAGGTCCCTCTCCCCTACACTGCTCTCTAACAGGTCGTTCCCCAACCTATACTGGAACCTGGGGTTGTTCCTGCCCAGATGCAGGACTCTACACTTTCCCTTGTTATATTTCATCAAGTTATTCCCCGCCCAACTCTCCAGCCTGTCCAGGTCTCGCTGGATGGCAGCACAGCCTTCTGGCGTGTCAGCCACTCCTCCCAGCTTAGTGTCATCAGCAAACTTGCTGATAGTACACTCAATTCCCTCATCTAAATCATTGATGAATATATTAAATAATACTGGTCCCAGTACCGACCCTTGAGGCACTCCACCAGATACAGGCCTCCAACTAGACTCCGCCCCATAGACTACAACTCTCTGGCTTCTCTCCTTCAGCCAGTTCACAGTCCACCTCACTACCCGATCATCCAGACCACACTTCCTCAATTTAGCTGCAAGGATGCTGTGGGAGACCGTGTCAAACGCTTTGCTGAAGTCAAGGTAGACCACATCCACCGCTCTACCATCATCCATCCACCGTGTTATTTCCTCATAAAAGGCTATGAGATTGGTCAAGCATGACTTCCCCTTGGTGAAGCCATGTTGACTGCCCCTCATAACCCTCTTATCCTTGATATGCCTTAAGATGGCACCAACAATAAGGTGTTCCACCACTTTCCCAGGAATGGAGGTGAGGCTGACTGGTCTATAGTTACCCGGGTTATATAGTAGATATCCTATTCACATCCTGTTCTGGAGAAAGGCAGCAGGCCTTGCAACACATTATAAATATCACCCAATTGAGTTCTGTCAGGTCACTGGGGAAGTCAGGTCTGGAGATCAGAATCTCACGCTCTGTGTTCAGGGAACTTAAACCAGAAGCCAGCAGTTTGAGCTTCTAAGCATCTCATGGTCACAGTGGCATCCCCTGTTGGAAAGAGGCTATTCGACAGGCAGCAGGAACTCAGTTCACCTAGGGACACTTGTAAGTTCGTCATGCTTGTGTCTCTGCTACCTCTGTTTCAACTTCAGACAAGTGCACTCCCAAGTCAGGGGTATGGAGGTAGAATTGCTATTTGTCTTTTCCCCTCCTCACCAACCACATCCCTTCACAACCCAGTGTAACCACTGAGTCATACTAGGCTAATTTTCTTTCTGGTGTTTTACCACAAAGAAAGGAAGCTTCTGGAAGACAATGACTCTTGGCTACACCTGTGCACCTCCTCCTTTTCCACTCATGTGCCCCTATGACACCAGTGCTGGTTTTCCCCTGCTGTACCCTGGAGCAATGTCAATGGGAAAGCAGCAAGCACGATGAAACCAAGAAAATCACAGCTGCTCACAGCTGTGTGGATAATGAACTAATTGTAGGAGAAAATGAAGTGGAATTGGAGGATTTGGCTCTAAACAAATACAGGCTGGAAACTGAAAAGTTCCTCACCATTAAATTAGCAAGAATCTGGAGTATTCTGAGATAGTCTTTCATGTAGAAATTAAATTGCTTTTAAAGTAGATGTAAAAAGCACACCAATGTGGTGGAATGTGATCACCCACAACAGCATGGGACGTGGCTGCATGAACTGGAATTTCCCTTTCAGTCCCATTTTCAGAATATGCACAGGGAGTGGATTTGCAGAGTCAGGTGGTGCTATTATTTTGTACAGCCACTTTCCAGACCAAGCGTACGGTCCATGAAACTGAAGGTAGAGCTTCAATCCAACTTCTCAGTTTGTACAATTATCACATTTCAGTGCTGCTGTGCATTGCCACATGTCTGCTGAGGGAAATACTTGTCCTAAGAGCACTTCTTGCTGCTGTTGCTACAGATCACCCTTAAGAGCTACTGTAGGAGCTCAGAATAGGTCTCAGGGTACCTCTGTTCTGACATACGGAAAGCTGAGGCAGGAGCTGACTTCATGCTAAGAGCGGTTTCTGAGCTCAAAAAGCCATGTGTGGAAGGGAAGAACAGAGAGATAGAGCAAAATGGAAATAAGAGTTCTCAGATGCATGTTATAGTGGTAACTAAAATAAGAAGATGCTTTGCTGAGGTTCAACCCCCACACTTTGGGTAGCTCACAGCCTATCTTTTCAGTAATTTAAGAATGAAAACTCTAGATTATTTTTTTTTTTTGGCTCTTCAGTTAATTAAACACAAAGCACCAAGATTATATCAAGATTAAAGGTCACTTAAAGAAAAGCCTAAGATCCATGTTGTAAAATTTATGCAATTTGCTGTAATAGTACAGAAAGATTCAACTTGATTATCAAAAGTAATTCATAGATGCTGAGATACCTGTTTGATTTGAACTCCTTTTAAAGCACTGAAAGAGTTGGCTGGCTGGTTCTAATACTGGCGTTCTTACACTCAGTTGGCAAACTGCATTTAGTGACATGTAACTTTTACCATTATGTCCCTCCCGTTCTCACCTTAGCAGGTAGCAACCTGTCTTTGTGCCAGGCTGAGGTCCTAGCCCTGGGAATGAAAGCTGTTGTATCATATGACACACTAATATTTATATGTAACAGAACTTTCTATCAGATCAGACAATGTCTGTAGGCCAGCCATATTCAGGTGTATTGCATGGATGAGTCCTGCCAAGGAAAAATAGAAGTAACTGGACCTAAAAGATTTGTTTATTTCTCCTCTCCTTTCTTCCCACTGCCAGTTATAATTTACTTTGCTGAAGAAGACATTTGTATCCAGCACATTTATGTCTTCTGTAATTTCAAATTCTAATTGGGGATCTTCTTTTTCAGTCTGTTCTCACTGCTGTAAGTGTCAGGATTCAGTGGAACAGGATGTGAAAGAAGGTACAAAGCCACCTCTGAGCTCTAAAGTGACACCTGAAACATCATTTGTATGACCAGATTGCATTGGCAGGTAAGTTTTCTTCACCATTCTTCTCTTGGCAAAACAGCTGCTAAAATACTATTTCATTTTCATACAATGTTAGCTCGCTATGCTGTCCTTTAGGGTAAATGCAGGGTAAAAAGGGGTAGGGCCTGACTGCCAGGTCAGACACATGGTGTTTCCTGGTCAGGTGGCTGGACAAACGATGCTCATGTTGCTTGTAGGGCACTGCTTTGTTTGGGTTATTTCAGATTTCCTGGAATGAACCTAGTGAAAAATGGTAGAGGGCCAAATTTCCTGAGCTGCTCAGCTGCTTTCTCCAGAGCGTGGGCCCTGCATAGATGGTGTGCAAGCCTTTGTGGTATTCTTTTCCTTAATTAACAAAAAATTTTAGGGAGTAAATGGGGATGGAGACAGAGAGAGGGGGAAAAGAAAGGAACATCTGACAACTTTGACTGTCAGTGTCTCCTCTGAACCTGTGTAAGGAAGCTGGTTAATATGAGAGGTGGGGTTTGTAGCATGGTCATCCATCTATCAGGATCTGCAGTGACAGGCCCTTGTTCTCATTCTGTGGGCCTCTCAACTAAGAACTGTCCTGACTGATTTGTGATAGTAGCTTATCACTACTATAGGTCCCACATGGAGTGTTTTGGTGGATGTCCTGTGAGCCGTGGATGTCCTGTAGTCATGGCGCTGTTGCATAAACATGGGAACACCACTGACAATAGAAATGAAGGACTGACCAAATGGAAGTGAGGGAGAGATGAACAAGAGAACAGCTCCAGCTTTCCCATTAAGATTAGCAATGCCAGTCCACTTCTGAGATATCTCTGTTCCTTTCAGCATCTGGAGGAATGGAGAAGTTTCCCCTTCAAGACTTACCCAAGAAATGCTCACCTATCTCTTAAAAGGAGCTACTTGTGATACTGAGGTGTTATGAAGGATGGGCTGGGGAAAAGTCTGGCTTAGTCATGTTTTACTACTACAGAGCATTATATTTGTTTTGGCTTGAAAGATCAGCTGTGTTCAAAGCTGTGTCCCCCAAAAAGACATTTTTCAAGTTAAGAGAATTGAGTAAAGATTAGCAGCTAACTGCTCTTATTCACATCATTATCCAGGTGGCTGCATTTCCTGCTCTCACCCTGGCATACTGAATACATTGCCAGGGCAATGCAATAGGGCAACAGCTGTGGAATCCTGGAAGTCATGAGTGCTATGCATTACAGTAATCTAAAACCGTAACATTTTTGTGATGGAAAGGAGGGCAAACTATCATTCAGGCCATTTGTTTCCTTTCCAAACCTGAGCAAACACTCATGTCCTCCTCTGGGGAAGGCCCTATCTGGAACAGATACTAGAGCCTTGGTTAGCATGATTTCTGGGGCGGGTTGTGATGGAAGTGGCAGGATTTCACTTACTGAATAAATCCATTCTGCCACATTTCTCTTTTGTTACAAAAGCTTGCTAGGCTTTTTCTGCAAATGGTTGGTGTTCCTAACTGCAGCGCTTGGAACTGCTGCTTGTCTGTGGACAGGGATGAAAGCTGTGCTTCCCTAGTGGCTGATGAGTCATCTCATAACTGTGTGATGTGCTGAGCCATGTCTTGTTGCTGCTTAAAGAGGGCAGCACATTCACCAGCCATTCTCACTCCGCAGACAGCACCTCTGCACGGTTCAAAGGTTTTCACAGTGAGGCAGCCTGCAGCTCACTGTAGTGTCCCTCTTCAGCTGTCTAGCTCTGATCAGCCCTCGGCTCCGCCTTTACTGTACTGGGAGCCCTCTTGTGGAGGCCTATGGCACGTCATCCCCGTTTGTCTCGGCTCTGCAACGTTCTTGCCTTGCGTTTAAGATTAAGAAGGAGAGGGGAAATAAGTAAATTTTTTTCTCTGTGTTCCTCAGGTTTCTTATCCTGTGTATTCCGCATTGAAGTCCCCACTGCTTATTGTACAGCAATACTTATTGTGTTGACCCTTCAGCTCTCTGAAAGGGGATGACAGCAGTAGAAAGCTCTGCTTATGAAGACTGGCAACATAATCCTGTATAAATGAATGCAAACCCCCACCTACGCCACAGAAGCTGTGGTGTGGTCTCCTTACAGCAGGTCACTGGTATTCCAGCTGGGAGGACCCTCCACGTTCCTGCAGCAGGGCAGGAGCATCACGGGCATCATGTTCATGTTCAACGGTTTGGGATCCTCTGGCTTTGATGCTGCCTCTGTGAACACCAGGGGCCCCGCAGAGCCCTGGCAGGCAGCCCACAGCCACAAGCGCCGTTAGTAACACAGAGCTGGCCTTTGGCAGACCCCAGGCCCTGACACAGAGTCTCAAGTCAGGCTGTGCCTCCATGTGGTGACTGGGAGCAGCTAAAACTTCTTACATTCAGCGTCGTGCAGGTTATCTGCCAGTACTGCTCTTTGCGCTGGAGGACTCTGGATTTGGATTTGACCATTACAGATGCATGTCCTTTCTCCCCTAGAGAGGCAATAATGTACACACTTTTCACAGAGAAGCACCTTAAGTGGGACTACGTGCCTCATACTTATTTTCAGTGCTAAGAGACTTTTTAGGGAATGATCCATACTGACAGCACGCTTAGCAGCTAACTAATATTGCTTACCCACAGCAGTGGCAGAAGTTCTCGTAACCTTTCTCTCCTGAAAGGATGGCCTCACCAACCCAGGTACTAACATGCTGCTCCTCCATTGAATTACTGTGGGGGCACATTTGACAAAGCACAGTGCTGGTGGTGGTGCACTGTGCACGCCTCTGTGCATACACTTGTACAAGCTCTTACATGCATTCCTTCCTACCCACACTTGTAACGCCGCATTTCTGTAACAATCTGTGGTTTATCTCACATGTATCTACTGTAATGAAATGTAACTCAACCTTGCTCCATAAACATAGGTCTGCTTTTGTTTGTATATTTGTATAGGAATACTTGTTAGAGAAGGATCTCCGTATTCTTGGGAATCTCACACAGTGACACAGGGATTTACTTTGTGTTGAATGCTGCCACTTTCTGCTAGCGTTCTCTCTACCCAGCTGGGACTTGAACGAAGTACCCTGCAGGATTCTAACATTGGACAGGACTCATCTAATCTGGGTGATATTTTTGCCTACTGTGTAGGAAAAAGTGGTTTCTCATTTTCAGGGGAGAAAAAGCCCCAAGCCCCACCAAGCTTCCTAAGCAACTCTGCATTATAACCTAAGTCAAACCTGCCCTGAGTTTGACAGATCTGGTTTTCCCTTTTGCTCTGTCCCACTGCAAACTGTACCTGTTCCCTTGCTGCTCTATCCACATGTGTAGTTAGCAGAGCAGAGCAAACACCATGCCCCTCACTCTGTGGGATGTTTTGTTGCTTGAGCTAGGACACGGCCAGGAAATATTCTACCCACTTCACTTTTTTCTAGCAGGTACATACTGAAAGAGAAATTGCTGGAGGAAGTAAGAGGACTAAAAGTGGTTTATAGAGGACTGAGCTACTAGAGGCTAAGGGATCAAGTTGCTAGTAAAAAATAAGGCACTGCTCCTTTTCTACTCCTGCAGCATCATGCTGCCCCATCAGCTTTTTTACTGTTTTCTCACTGTATGAAGTGAAACGGGAGCTTCAAAACATTCTTATGGAAGGTTTTTTGACAGAGAAAAGGAGACAAGGTGAGTGATAAGGAAACCATAAGCTTTGCACTTGGGAATTCTGGTTGAAAGCAGAAAACAGGTGACACGGAAAACTGTGTTTCCGAAAGGCAACCTTATTGCAGGACTTGGGTCTATGATCTCACACTTTCCGTTTCTTCCCATACTTCCTCTTTCCAGCATAAACTACTAGCTTCCTGCAGGCTGAACACCCTCCTTTTGTTATTTACTTTTGCTCATTTTTAACACTGTGCTTCCTTCCCTGCTATAAAAATGCATTTCTACCTTACCAACCACACCACAGCCCTGACAGTTGTACCAACACAACCTTTTCCCTCTGCCTGTCCTATGCTTTACTTCTGCTCCTGACTGATGATTGCACAGCCTCCTGGAAAAGGGTTTGTTCTCTGTACTCTGCCAAACCTTTCTGTCACCAGACTCCTCTGACCTTTGAAGTTACCTCCTTCTAAAGGAAACAAAATGTTTCACTGACAAATATGTCTAGCATCAGTTTGGTTTTGTATTCTTGTTGGGCAGGTTATTTGTTTTTTTTTTCCTTAAGCATTTATACTATGAATCATGTTTTCTATTGCCTTATGCTGTATTCAGTGAATTGCACACAAATGGTTTCTGTGAGACCTTTTTGGATTAATATCTGGGTCTTTCTACCAGGTGAGCTGCTCTGTTTATCACAGGTGTTTTTTTTTTCCTGGAGTTCCTAGAGTTTAATTGTATTAAAAAATAAATGGTAAACTCAAGTTTCCATTCCTCAGTAATAAAAGATGTCTGTTCTATGTGCAGGGAAGTGGTAGAGCCTTTCATGTGACAGCATAAGCCTCAGCCACCATTTTGCAGCTGCTAAAAACAGGCTGTGTAGCACCTAGGTAGCTGGTTGACAAAGCTGTTACAGGTACAGCTGGCAACAAGACACACCTCTCTCTGGTGTGTTCAGCAGCAATGACAAGTGTCAGTCAGGTACCCATCTTGTACCTCTCACACACCTCCTGTCTGTCAGCGCATCAGGGGTTAACAGAGCAGTGTAGCTATGGTGCTCAACACGCAGTTTGCAACAGCTCTTCCTTCTCCCTGCCAAAAAGGGAGGTTCCCTGCAAAAGCAAAACCTGGTGTAAGATCAGTGTATCCCCACTATTCCTGTTACCTACTCAGAAAGTGGAGGACCGAGAACGTCAGTGATACGCTTCTACTGGGATGGAGGGAAGATGGTGGGGAGGGAGGAATCCCTTACATTCGTATTTAAAATACAAGTTCTGAACAAACTCTTCACTCCCCATTTGGACACTGACTTTGAATACAAGAAATGAAGAAGTGCAGGGAATTAAACCCAGCAGGAAAAGGAGCAAAAGATGGCTGCTAATCTTGAGTGTGCAGATGGAAGTCTCTGCTTCCCCTTGCTAATGTGAAGCATAGGGACATCTATCAGCCCTTCCCTCCTCACATGGAGAGAAAAGCCACCAACTGCTACACCTTGGCCCTCCCTAACCTCCCATGCACCAATGGTCAGGCACAATAAAATTAGTATTCTTTAGCCATCACATCAAATACCACTAAATAGTACTACAGAAAGACTGAGCAATGACACAGCCAAATGTCATCTCCTGTACAGATAAGAGAAAAAGAGAAGACCAAACATCATTGTATAACCACAGTGGCAAAAATATGACTCAGAAAGGTCTGCTGTTTTGTTTTTTGAGGGGGCAGAGGAAAATAACACTACTGTCACCAGTACACGAAAAGCTTAAAACAGGAAGGGGGAATTACATATCTGTACCTCTGCTTATTCAGATCTGTCACTCAGGCGCAGTAAAGGAAACTGAGAGCTGGTTGATAACAACCCCAAAACACGTGTTTCTTCAATGAAAACGAATGAAAGATGCACTACACAAAAAAATACAATAAAATGCTTATTTCAGAAGTCAGAAAACATAACACCTTCCTGGAAGCAAGCTGTGCCAAAAATCTGCTTTGGGTGGGTGGAATATGCTCTGTGGAATTGACTGTTCGTCTTTCAATCAAGGGTAATCAGCAGTAACAGAGAAAAGCATTCAGCCAGAACATACTGATAATATACTCTTTTCTTGGGGGAAGGAGGCCCAAACCCCTTGCCTGGATCCAATTCCCTTTAACAGGAAAAAAGCTCTGACAAAAGAAGAGGATGAAAATTCTGACTTCTGCTTTGATGGAAACAGTGATGGGCACCCTGGCCCTTCTGAGTACAGACCATTAGTCCATTGACTTCAACCCTACCCATAGGTAACAGCTATGACTTAACAGTTCATCTCTGGTACAAAACAATAAACAGAGCTAGTGCTATCCTGGCTCTTGTCTTTGCTACTGCCTGGATAGAGGAATGCCTGACACCACCACCAGACTTCATTGCTGTTCATGGGTGGGATCTCAGCTAGAGCTCTTCTTAAGGGATATTACTCATATGTTTCTCAAGTGCAAATGCTATACTAACATAAAGAGCTCACGGACACAACCACCACTGCTAGATGGCTTTATTAAGTGTCTTGAACCACACTTTCCCCAAAGGTAATCCCCTAATTCCCAACCTTCAAATGAAATCAGAGGCCTTTTTATTGTTGGTTAAATTTTCCACAGTGTCAACTATTCCACCATCACCACCAGAAACAAATCATCCTTCCTGTGGCCCTCTCAGCCACACTTCTACTGAGGAACCCAAAACATGCCTTTTTCACGGTATTTCTCTATCATTCCCAGCTCCTCCACCCTCCTCAACACTGACTGCAAAATACCCCAGGTACTGGAGGAACCACATGTGTTTTTCTGCAAAAAGCCTAAAGAAACCACCACCAGCAGGACAGCATTTGCTGATGCTGAAACCAGGCCCAGTCAAGCTGTGGGATGAGGATGACAAGAGGATGAGGATCACTCACTCCAGTGCTGCCTGTGCTGTGCTCTGTCCTCAGGTGCTGTCTGAAGAGCAGCTTGCATCAGAGCCTAATTACCTTTTGGCATCAGGGTACCTTTAGCAACCAAACTATTCACAGGTTCTTTAGCTTGAGTATTTCTACCTCACTGGTGGCGTGGACATTTTTGGCAGTGAAATGGGTTCTAAACAAGGTTCCGGGGCTGCCCTCAACCCCTGCCAAAGCTGCGTTATGCTTTCTAGTCTGCAGAGTCTACATTTCCACCTTCTTGGCCATTCCATGCTGTTGTGCAGTGATATGCATCCATAAACCATGTTTTCAGCAAAATGCTTTTTCACAAGTGCACCAGGTGTAACTGCATTCACAAAAGACCTCCAAGACTTCTATTAGCAAAATCAAAATACTTTGTAGCTGCTTACAACAGAGATCTGGAGAAGACTCAACAGTTCCTAGAGAGCTCTTGCTCTCTTTGTCTCTGGTCCTTCCACGTTACTTTCTGTTTGGCCTAAGACTTCAGTCACACTGAGCCTGGATTGCCTAAAGAGAGAAGAGAGAGTACAAAGTAATTTTATCTCTATATCCTCCTGACAAAGGCATCACTGAAAAGTCCCAACTCTTCAACTTCTATAACTGGCACTATTCCTGAGTTTTAGTAAGTCACACAACCAGTGTCATAGCCTTTTCTCCCCAAAGTGTACAGCAATCCTTCTTTTCTCTCCTTAACAGGGATGGAAAGAAAGCAGCAGTGAAGTTAAAAAGAGTTCTGGCCTCTTTCAATTTTGGCAAAGAAATACCAAGGTCCTTGTCCTGCTTGTCTTCACAGCCACTGCAAAAGAGAACTGATAC